TCCCATTTTAAAACTCTCCAAGTGGATGCTTTTTAGCTGTGAATATACCTACTGTTTGTTTCAATATCCATTAAATGGGCTCTAGTAGATCACCCGTAAGGAAAATCAATTCTTGACTTGGGCGTGGGTGTGTGTGTGGGGGTGGAAGCTTATTGAGGCCTAAACTGGGAGCTGCCATAGATTTACCCATTAAAAAAAAACCAAAAAAACAACAATCCTGAATATAGTGTTTCAGATCTACATTTTCCCCTCCAAGCCACAAATGCTGAAATTAGGCAAACTAGTTTATTTTGACTATTCTTTTCAGTCTGGTATCCTAGATATGAAATGACTGGCAATTCTGGGTCATAATCCCCCACATCTAGAAGAGATTGAATGGAAAAACACTGCTTTAGATCACATCAATATTACAAAGCGGTTCATATATCACTGTAATTTTAATAATTTAAATATACAGCCTTATTCTATGTAAAATATTGGCCTGAGGGACACATTTTACAGCATTTTTAAAAACAGCATTTTTAAAGAACATTTATCTTGTTCTATCAATTCTATGTCCCAGAACTGTCAAGCCTGGAATTCTTAATACTTTCCAGTTTTTACTTAACATTATTAAATCAGACTGTCCTATTCTCTACCCTTTTGTACAATCTAAATCAAAGCGTTATGTTCTTCAGAGCGTAAGGTCTCCCTTGAATGCAAAAATAAGCACATTTAAACTAATTTGCCTGCAAAATATTTTTTAAAAATATATATAATTGAGTTTATTCCATTTTTCCCTGAAAAAAAATAATAACGAAATAATGGTTCTCTTTCTACTAAGAGGCTGGAGAAGGGGACAATGCATTTCATAAAAGCAATAAAAATCATGAAGAAACTGAAGAGTATGAAACAAAGGATAAGTAAACATATTTATTTTAAGTTCAAGATTTTTAATGTTACTCAAGGGGTTGCAGAGAAACTGTAGAAATGAATAAAGCTGGTATAAAATGGTGCTCACCACCGGAAGCAAGAAAATAACTTGAATCCTAGAAATCTGGTGCCCAGAGTTTGAAATTAGTACCAGGAGGAGTGTGAAGGTTAATAGGAAGAAAAGGAGAATAGATGATGAGATAAAAGAGAGGGACATCAGGGGGCATTTTCTGAAGGAGACTACCCAAAGAAGTAAGAAGGAAAACCAAAACTTAGAATAGGAAGAGAAAGTGCGGAGTTGTAAAGAAAAACAGAAGTGTGAGGAAAAGGTAAAGGGAGAATGCGCAAAGCTGTATTGCACTGCTATGTGTTCTTCTGATGTGAATAGGTAGGCAAGCTTAGCCTGTAAAGGGAATTATCCAATATGTCAGCTAGAGAGAGTACTGAACTTAAGAAAGCAAGGATAACTCAGTTAGGAAGGAGGCAGACTGGGACTGGAAACACCAAGGAACTGACTGGATTTGGAGGAATTAGCAATGCAATCCAAAACAGCTCAAGTTGCCAGAAGTGAGATTTCTTGTAATCTGAAGAAGGAGATATTGAGCAAGCTTCAGGGCACCAAGATTACAGTCCATTGAATTCAATAGTTATGATAACTCTGGTTGTTTTTTGCAGTTATTTTTAATGCAAGTAATAAAGTGGAATTGCTTGTTTTTAATTTTGGCTCCATGAAAATATCAAAGTACAATTTTTGGTTCATAGCTACAAATTAACCTTGAGTTTTATTCAGTCTTAGGGAAAGGATGAGAGAAGTCCCTTAAAACATACTTTAAGAGAATGTAGGCAGGGATGGGTTGCTGGGGGTTTGCAGGGGCTCAGGAGATCCTCTAGCTAAGATTCTGCACAATTTGGAGAATGCCTAAATTCCACTCCTGGCTGGCCCTGGCTACCCTACCCTGCCCCTCCCAGAAGACCCACACAGCCCGTTTTGGATGCAGGTAAATGCAGGGCATGCGCAGAGGCTTGGGAAGGGTGAAAAACGGGCCTCCCAGAAGTTCAGGAAGGCTGGAAATGAGCCAGTTTCTGGTTTCCAGAAAGCCTCTGGAACCCGGGTAGACCATTTTCACCCTCCTGGAGGCTCGAGGAAAGCCTCTGGAGCCCCGGGAGGACAAAAATGCTCCCTCCCACTGTGGTGCAAGAGGCTGACTAGGCCATGCCCACCATGGCCACACCTACACAGCAACTGGGCAGAGAACCTATTGCTAAAATTTTTGAAGCCCACCCCAGAGTTTAGGACAGTAGCAAGTTTGGATAAAGGGTTTGGGATTTGTATGAGATAAAACACTGACAGGAACTTGATTCCTGGGAGTTTTCTTTGCGGACAAAACAAGGCTACTGAAAAAGATCCAAAGTAACTTATTTGCATACATAAAACTCTAGCTGGGATAAAGCAAATCTAGCTAAGAGAAACATTCAGTCATAATAAGATAGTTATCCAGCATATGAACATTCATATGAATTAGAAGCTATGCTATTAAACATAACCCTCTCCCAAGAAAACACCTGCCAGGCAGCACAGACTCAAAAGGAGAGCAACTACCTCTCTGCAGAAAGGTAAGAAGAAAGCAGGCCATGAAATAATAAGTTCCAAAACTCTTTGATTGACTCAGCAGATGCAAACTAACTCTTTTTCAGTTGCAAACCTGAACTAAGCCTTAGGATAAATTTCCATAACATGTGGTCTGTATAACATTTTGGGCTTTAATAGAATTTCGATCCAGATCCAAATTGGCTGTGCTGGCATAGAATTTGGGAGATTGTAGCCCAGCACATTTGGATAGCAGGTTGGAAAAAGATACTTTAGATGGAAAGTTGTTGCCTAAATTTATATATAAGGTAAGAGTATGGAGGCATTTCAGCAATTTTGTGGCTAGACTACCTTCCCAGGATTTTATGGACGTTCTGTACTTTATCAGGTCCACAAGATATATCCTAGAGTAAATAAGATGAAATGAACAGGAAAATATTTTTTTAAATAAATACTAAAGTCAATAAAATGACTGAATGTTGTGTTGCTTATTAGCATACAATATATATACATACATATACATATACATATACATATACATATACATATACGTGTGTGTGTGTGTGTGTGTGTGTGTGTGTGTGAAATGGTTATTTTTAATAGATTTAGGACCAATCTTGCCAAGTCCAACCAATAAAAGCAGACTCATGATAAACTTTCAATAGAAATAATACATTTTTCAATATTTTATGCCCAAGACAGATCAATCTGTTACCCTTGCATTTGAGAGAGGGGAAAAAATCAATAAAGGGGAGAGGAGTCTCTGAATTTAATGAAGTTAGATAGGCAAACTAATAGCAATTAAATCAATTGTTCCAACAAAAAAATAGCCAAAAAAGTTTATATAAGAAGCTGGACATTCTGTAAATACAACTGAAACTATAGAAAAATTGAATTAATTATTTTCTGTCTGAATGAAGTAATAGTGAAAGTTCGAAAGGAAATTAAATTTTACATTTTTGTTATTGCCCAAATTATATTTAACTTGAAAGCAATTTAGTACAGTAATTAAGCTGTCAGCCTTGATACCCAGAGATCAATGAGTTCTAGTCCTGCCTTACATATAAAGCCAGCTGGGTGGCCTGGACCAGTCACTGTATCTCAGCTCTAGGAAGAAGGCAAAGGGAAACCACTTCTGAAAAACCTTGCCAAGAAAACTGCAGGGACTTGTCTAAGCAACCTTCAAAAATTGGACTTTCAATTGAATGGAAGAAAAAATAAGAACTTCAAATCCCACTTTCATTTTTTCCAATATTCTGTGGTGTAACTGATCCAGAAAAGAGTCCTCAGCCAAAACAAATAGCTTAATTCCTATTTCTGAGGAATTATACTTCAGAAATTACAGAATGAAAGAAGCAGAGTTCAAAACACATGAAAAGGAACCTAAGGAAAGGTGTATCCGTAAATATTTTGTGTGGGCAATGTAGTTTGCAGATACTCTTACATGTTTTCCTCTATTAACTTTAAATTTTAGGAATGATTAACCCTAAACCTAACTTTAATATTGCTCTATGAACAGATCTCTATGGAATTCCTAGTTTAAAATAAATACAGACCAGACAAAAATCTCTCATTCCCTGAAAGGAAATCAAGTATAGGAAAAGAAAAGAAAAGCATCAATTTCTCTCTGATGATCTTGGAAAATTGATGCTATTCCACAAAGATGGAAGAGAACCTTTCATAATATTGCTTGCAGAGCCACAATTAATTTTTTTAAAATACGCCAGGAGGTTGTATTTTCTTTTTAGAAAAGTGTTCTTAAGTTTGTAACATGTCTAGAATAGAGGTATACAAATACATTTCCTGAACTCCATGCAGCTCCACAAAGTCCTTGGCATGTTTAAAGTTGCATTTTTATGTAAAAAAAGGAAAGCTATTAAGTATATGGGCAGCAGTCACAAATCATTTAAACTATGTTATATTTTAATTAAACATCAATTTATATTAAATGAAATTCTATTTTTGTCCTGGCCATAGCCACTTTTTGAAGTGTTCCTCCAAGCTGTGGATCAACTCTCCTATAGAAAACTCCTTGTTTTCTGAAGACTGGAACAAAAGTGACCTAGAGGCCTTATGTAATATATTCCTCCTTTATAGTGCTCTGAAGACCGAGAGCACACTAAGGACTCAGGATTTTTCATTTACCAGTCATCCATCCATTCTCCTTCCATTCTTCCCATGGTGCTGAACCAGACGTGACTTCTCTGCATTACTATGTTAAGCAGCAGTAGCAGCAAAAATCAACTAGATCAGTAAAATGTATCAGCCAAAGCCTATCATGCATACATGCTGAGCAGCAACTGAAATTTAATGGTCAACCCTTTCAATGGTCTTCTAACCCCAGAAAGAGGAGCTATTGGCTAACTCATCTGACAGTGCTTTTCTGATCTTACCCCTCATACCATTGAAAAGGTTAACACAGTGCATGCGCAATGATTCCAAGAGCCAAGCCTGAGTCACACGCCCCCATGCCTTTTTATGCTGCCACTAGATACAATACCTGAGGTTGGAAGAACTTCAGAAGTGTAGCATCAAATACAAGGAAGGGAAACATGAGGAGAGAAAGGAAAGAGAGAACACAGAAATATATAAAACTGCTACATAAATACAATCTACAAACATGGCAGCCTGAGGCTGTAAGAAAAAGAAAACATTTTAACCGATCATTTCCAATCAATAATACTGTAATGACCATTAAAACCCGTACAAGAAGTTGTGGTAGATATACTTCCTTTCTTTTTTTTAATCTGGGGATTAACGTTCCATTCTGTTTATGGATTTAATTCAACAAGACTACATACCGTTAGCTTTGATTTATTTTCCTTGAGGATTAGGAGAAATTCTACTCAAGTACAATTTATTGCAAGTTCATTACCATTTCTATGTTTGTGATGGATGAGGCACTATAGCATGCAAATAACCACAAGTCAGTGGTTTTTTTTTTTCATTCTAATTACCTGGCTCAAATAATATCTATGCAAAATGGAAGCCATGGTTCTTTTATCATCATCCATCCATCCACCCACCCACCCACTCAATGTTTCTTAAATCTGTAGTAGAAAAGAAAACGGCAAGGTTTGTTTCATTTCAGACAACTCCAAAAGCTTAGCCATGTACTGGCCGTGGTCTACAGAGATCATTCATTAATAATCTGAGGAATCTACTTTTATTTAGACAGCCTGACAAAAACTCACTTGTGAGATTCCTTTGAAAACCTATTAAAACTCTCGGTCCACAAAATAATTGCAACATTTATTGAATCCTTACTGAATTCCAGTTGTAACACTCCACAGTTCTATGCATACTGGCATTCAATCGATAATAGTATGGCTTTTTGCTAGGTGTCTGCAGTACTCACAAAGCAATGTGAACAAATGCACAATGTTCTTTCTTTAACATCAGCATGCATATTGTAACTACAGCACATAGCAGCTACAGCTAATCATCACTGCTGATGAGTTCCAGGACAGCATGTTGTTTATTTATACTTCATCAGAAATTGCCTGAAGGAATAAAGAAAGCTAACAAACCCAGTGTGAATGGCATACATCTGCCTATGCCTCTGATTTTGGGCAAACCATTTCTGATTTTGACCACATGTAGCAAACAAGTTATTACAGTCAAAATGTTGTATCAAAATAGGAACCTCAACTAGCATCACACTGAGTTTGAATCCAGATTCAGCTTTAAAGTATAGTCAACGTAAATCATAACTGGTACACAATGTTTTCTTGGAAACTTTCCCTTTTATATACATGAAGACAAAGGAAGGTATAATGTACGTGAGACAGAAAAAAATGGCTTCAGTTCCTTTTTGTACTGATAGACTGTGGTTTGTTATATTTAACTGCAGATGCTATACTTATAATCTCAAACTATTTCAGACTCCAGAAATAATTACAAATACATTTGCAATGGTTGTATGTTATGGCTGACAGACACATTCAGATTATGACAAAGTTATGAATACAATAGCTATCAACATCTAACAGATTCAAGATTAAAGCTTTTATAAAAATAGATTAGTATTTTAATACTGATTCTAATACAGTAATGAAATTATTGGATTTTTATCATCCATGGATCTTTAATTTTTAAGAAAAATCCAAGTTTGGTGTATCAAATGACCGCAGAGAGCAACACAAAATCCAGTTTGCAAAGTAATTCCCATTCATTGCCTGCCAAATTATACATTTTTCTCCTGCACAAGAGAAAATACTTTGGGTAGAAATGATTGGCAAGAAATATATATAAAATATGTTGAGTGATTGCCTGCTCAATGACAAATGTGAAGCAATTCATGTTTCAAATGTCTATTCAACTGAATGATTTTTCCCACATTTTACAATTGGGAAAATAAAAAGCAACAATTAATTATATAAAGCACAGGCCTAAACAGAAATTGAGATCTTCCTGGAAATGTGAAGAATGTTAAGAGCAAGCTTTGTTTTGTTTTCACTTTCCTGAGGGCTGTTGAACTTTCACTTAGTTTAACATTTTTTTTTCACAAAGAGTGTTTTATTCTACCATGAATCTAGAAGTTGTGACTTTTTCTTCCTGAGGGTCATCTGTTGAACCAAAAGGTGCTGGGAAAGGGCAATAATGCATTCCTAGTTTGTCTCTTATAGAGGAGATTGGATCTATCTGTAATATATATTTCCCTATAGCAATGAGCATTATTTAAACTGCTGAATTTATAGACACACTCTCATACTGAGTAACCTAATTTCATTACAGTATTATTATTTGCTTTTTATTATTTCTAATTTCAAATGGAAGTATTCAAATTACTGTATATATTCTTTCCTCGATGAGATAGCTTGAGAAAATTATATTCCCCATTACTAATTAAACCATCCTTTGATAATTAGGAAATTTTTCCTATTTTTATACTGCTTAAAATATACCTCATGTGGGAAAGCGGTTTTCCTTGATAGAGAATTCATCTGCTCTAAAAGAGGAGAAATAATGTCCTTCTGTTTTTGGCATTCAATCACTCATGAGTCTGGGGGCAACATTTTAACCAATTTTTCCCTAATGGCCTAATTTCCAGGGAAAATTGGAGATGGAATATTCCCTTTCTTGACAATTCCTGGGGCATATAAAGAGACCTTTTCCATAACTGCAGAGGTATATAATCACTAATGTTCCACCAGCTATGGTGATTTCAACTCCCATTATCTCACACTATTAGAAATAGTGTTCTTGAAATTCTTGATAGTGGATAAAAATGTCAAATCCAGTCTAAACATCTGGATGACTGTGCAACCAACCATAATAATAATCGGGACCAAATCTAAAGTCCTACAGCTGACTGGGAAAAATCACGGATATGAATATAGGATGGGAGGGACACATACTGGAAAGTAATACATGAAAAAATAATTTGATATCCTGGTGGATCACAAGTGGAATATTACCCAACTGTGATGATATTGTAGAAAAAAAAGTAAATACATTTCCATACTGCATCAATCAGGCAGGGGAAGGATACTACAAAATCTCCATTCCCACCCCACTCCAGGGGAAGGATACTGTAAAATCCCCATTCTTTCTCCATCCCACAAACCTACTTTCCAGCTCCATTCTCCTGTGCAGGGCAACAAAAGAAGACCCAGCCGATCAGCTGGGGCTCGGGAGGCAGAGAAGAGGTGGGGGCAGGGCCAGTCAGAGATGGTATTCTGAACTACTCAAAATTTCCGCTACCGGTTCTCGAGAACTGGTCAGAACCTGCTGAATACCACCTCTGATACATACAAAAGAAGAAATTGAATAATGAAATTACCATGCATGTACAAATAATATGGTGATTGGCATTAGAAGAATTTATTGGAATATTGAATAATTTAACAATGAAGGATTATAATTTAATACAAATATAAGCATTAATATTAGAATTATATAAACTTGATGAATGTGAAGGATATGATTAATGTTGTTGTTTCTGTTTGCACCAAAATGTTTGATGCTTAGGTGCCACACTGTTTATATATTGATGTGTAAAAATAGAATAAATAAAAAACTTGATTATATAAAAAAAGAAACAATTATAAGGATATAGACTTCAAGTGGACATCAGGAAAAATTCTTAATGATAAAGAGTTACAATGAAATATATTTCAGGAGAAATGGTGGGCTCTCTTTTTCTGGAGGCATTTAAGTAGAGGCTAGATGGTAATCCATTGGGAATATAATAGATTCCTGCACTGGACAAGGATCACACTAGATGATCCCTTTCAAATCAAATCTTAAAATATGATTCTAAGGGGGGGAAAGAATTTTATTATCAGATTTGTTGCATAAAATGTTTAGGTTGGATTGTCTTTCTCATAGCAACATATACAATCCAGATGCTTGCTTGTTATTACTGTCACAATATTATAAGGTTCAAAAACTCTGGATTTATTTCAGATGGAAGCAAAGCTTGTGGTGCCTTGCTTCTCTAACCAAGGATTTCATAAAGTAGAGTGGAGCAACTGTTGCCTGAATGAGTCTCCCTTGTTTTGTAGCTTCTAGTTCTCCCAAGACTCTTCAGCCACCAAATCACTTTTTTTTTTTTACTTTTAGCACTTTATATATGTATATTAATACTTTGAAAGGCTTAACACAACCAATTCACTGAAAAACAACAAAATAATTCTCAAACACCCCCTAATCCAATAGACTGAAAATTCTGGCTAGATGCTTTTTGCAGATGTTCCTTTACTACCATACACATTTCAGATACTCCCATCACTCTCCCCACCCCATTAGGTGTTAAGAGTAACTTATACTTTGAGCTTAGAAAGTGGATTTGCCACACAACACATTACCAATCATTACCAATCAAAGATGAAGACCATTGCTAATCACACCCAAAGCAACGTATAAAAAGCAGAATACTAGGGACTGGTTAGATAACAATTATAAAATGAATATCATTTGAAAAATAGCAATATAGAATACTACCTAAAATATAAATGATGGTGGTAATGACAAAAGAAAAATGATAAATCTATGAATGATGGTGGTAATGACAAAAGAAAAATGATACATCTATCAAGCAATTCCCAAGGAAGAATACTTTCATAGTATCGAAGGGACAGCAGATTGCCATAAATAAATGAAGATACCTAGTAAAACGATATACATAAGACCAAAAATATAAATAGTGGAATGTTGGTCTGTTTTAAAATATGTTAATATTTAATAGCATCATGTCATAAGTGAATAATGAAAAAAATGAAGTCATGAATGATATTGTCTAAAATAAGGAATACTACTCCAAACAACCTTTTAAACAAATATTATAGGATCAATTGTCAATTTTTAAGAACCTCGGAGGATTATTTTATTATATGAACTGCTTTCTTTTGCAACTCACTTATTTTAAGTATTAAAACAATCCACCCTCCTTAATTATAAATGCAAAATTTAATCAGTAAAACATAATAGACATGTCAGTATGTTGGTCTATGTTTCTATATAAAAATTGGCTAGGAACTATATTAACTTCATTTAAACACAAGTGATGAAAAACAAGGCTATTCAAATGTTACTCTCCCGGCCTTTCATTGGGAAAGAGTTAAAAGATGGACATAGTATAAAACTGAAAGGATTTAGATAGAGTCCTTTAGGATTTATTGAGCTACTCTTTGGAAACTCAAGGTTGCTTAAAACTATTTTACAAAAAGCCTATTTTATTGCAGTTGAAAAAAATGACTTCTGTCCAATCATTTCCCCAAGGAACATACAGGCAATCACTTGAAAGCAATTACTTGAAGTCTTCAACTGTACACTGAGTCTTTTGAAATCAGAGCAATAACAACAATACAGTGGCAAACAGGGTCTATGGAATATTCTTAACTCTATTGTGAATTCTATAACCAACATGTACCTTATTTCATAAAAGACTCAAATGAAAAAGAAAGGAAATGTCAAGCACTTGTATTCCTGTCTCTTAGCATCTTGGTCATGGCCATAACTATTGTAGACAGTAGTCAAAGTTCTATTTAGTCATTCTAAATCACGTCAGCGAACAGTGTGTGGAGTCGGGCCTGTTCTCTGCATTGTTGCATCTACTTCTTGTCTAAGTGTTGGGGGAAACTAAGCAGCACAATCCTGGTCTCCTACTCCTTATCTTATTGGCTGCATTATTTAAAATGCTCAGTTAAGTCTCTTGAAAACATCATAATTTGTTCTCTCAAGCATTTATTCAGTAATTTGCAGAAAATTTCGGAAACTAAGGAAACATATGGTTGGGCAAGATTCATGCCCATAACATACCAGGGCCGAACTTCACATATCAATGTATCAACTGCCACCTATATATTACAAAAAGTTTTCATCACCATTCACACCTCCAGCTCCACATCTCTCACACTGAAGAGCTGCATCTGCATCCACATCACTTACCTTCATTCAGTGGAATTGGAGATTCCCCTGTGGCAGGCTCACCTTCTCCAATCTGTGTCCTGCCACGCAGATTGAACCTGTAGCGTGAGATAGGATCCGTCCTCTGAAGTAAAAACTTTGTCTGATTAGGAGAGAAGACCTCTACCATTGTTCTGCCAGTTTTGGATCCGTTAACTGAAGAGAGAGGCAGGCTGTGTATGCTTCAGTCTTGTTTTCAGAAACATGCTCACCTACACATTTGACCAACTGTTATCCTAAGTTAGCACCCAACACAGGCCCTGACTTTTGTTAAGATAGTAAAGATGGAAGTAAATAATAATAATAATAATAATAATAATAATAATAATAATAATGGGAAATATGAGAAAAACTAAATAATAACTATTATGCCAGAAGCTTATATTAGATATATAAGACTCTTCAAGGAATTTGTTATTATACAAAGAATTCTTTGGACAAATATGAAATTTGCTCCTGAAAATACCTTTTAAGTAAGCAACTTTTAACAGAGTTGAAAATTACATTTCACAGAGAAATGTTTCCTCACAATGATTCCTATGAAATGCTATTGCATTAGGATTCAACTTCGAAAGACTGATTAATAAAATGATAAAAGCAAAACAACAACTAGAAAAATGAGCATGGGACATACAGGCTTGGTATCTAAGAGTGTATCCAATAAGAATGCCATTGGGATGCTCAGGATGTTCCCATTCCAAGGTGACGGTTTCCAAGTTTGGCTGACGAATTCGGAAATACCTTGGGGCACTGGGTACTTTAGTAAAGTATAGTTGTGGAGAGAGAAGGGAAGAAAAATATATATATCAGGTAACAAAATCTAAAATGCAGGTAGTGCACATAGAAGTATTTGGTATAGATGGCATAAATGTAACTTATTAAAACCACACCACAGTTTCCATGTGTTTTTAATAAATACAGTCTGGACATTCCGCAAAGGATAAGGCTATTGTTTTATTTTTGCATTCTGGATAACTATGCAGTGGATGTAATATGAGTGTATGCTGTGCTAATGGCCTAAATAATAATGTGGATGAAATTGTCAGCTATAAATTATGTTGAGCTCAAAAGCCAAACTTCTTATCTCCCATTTAGAACTATAGAGTTAATCAGTTGGGTAAGCAGTTTTTATCACATCTGTCTATTAAGTTGAAGATTTATTCTTTCTACAATGAGGCCAACTCTGCTTCTTAAGATGAACATAAAAACCTATCAGAATAGGAATTATGATACTCAATATTAAGCAATAAAGGTCACTTTTTATTCATGACATGTCTGATGAACTCAAGCTAATCACTTTGAAAAACCATTCATGATGATGCCAAAATGAAGCAACGGGATATGTTAGAAAGAAACTGCTGTCACTGAGCACAGCTAAAAAGACTTATCAAGATTGATGTTAGCCCTCTGGGTAGACCAAAGTAGGAAACAGATTCCACAGGAAGACTAGAACTCTACATTGAGATAGATTATAATAACAGAATGTTGTAAGCTAATTGTGCTTTACTGTTCCCTTCCAATACTCCAAGGAATCAGAGATAACCTTCCTAAGTCTCTTCCTTTATCATCTTATTTCCTAGGACTCTTTCCTTATATAGTGATTTTTGTCAAATTCTCACAAGATAATCTCCCTGATTCTCCATCAGGTCTTCCTTCAGTGAGACCAACCCTTGCTATTAGGGTAACCATGTCAATCTTTTAAGTAATACAGAATTGGGCACAAATATTTGGCATAAAAATGGCTAAAGTTGCCGTACATTTTCCAAACTACTGATTTCTATTAAAATTGTATATTTAATTAGAAATTTGTGGTTGTCCTACAAATCCTATCCATTTCAACTGAAAACTAGTCAGAGCTGTTTATGTTTTTCCTTACGGGGGAAGTGTCCTTTTCCAATTCTCATTCCATATTGAGATCTGAGTCAGAATGGGCAGCTTCTGGAAAAATCCAGCAAGGGCTGAGCCACTTCTGGAATTTTGAAACAGTCCCCTGAACCAGAAGGACAATCTCTGTTGATCCCTAATGAAGAGTGTCAGATTGTATCATAAGAATATATGACCACACAATAGCAGCTTTAACTTAAATCTTCTATCTGATGCATTAAATTGTTTCTTACTGAGCATAAACCAGACTTCAGAATAATAGATTACAAGATTACTTGTCTAGTAATCAAATTCAAAGAGCTCTGGAGAGGAACTACTGCCCTAAGTCGCCTTATTCATAAAAGGGGTAACATATAGATTTAATAATAGTCCTATCTGACATCATATAGGCAGACTCCTACAGTAGAACTTCTCTTTTTCTTTGTTTTCCAAGCTTGCATTTTGTAGGCTTGAGAGGACAGTAAAAATGAGGCAGAATCTGTTCTGAAATAGTGCTTGTTCCACTGGAAAAACAGATGCTATTTTATCCTAAGATTTCACTTTTCAAGAGATATAACCAGATGGTATCTTGACTAAAAATACTAAAGAATTTCTATTCTATGTGCAGTTCAATTACTTTAGGAATCACTGCAATTATATCAAAATATTAGTCACTTTCTTACTTAACACAGGGCCCACCAAATAAGATGATCTTGAAGCATATGTACAGATCAGGGCTGTGCAAATAAAAAATCTAGATGATCACTAGAAAGGCAACAAAGAGATAGTGTTTTCAATTTCTCTTTTCTCTTATCTTATAGTTTTTGAATAGTAGCTCTACAAGACTACAGTATATAGGATCTATTACTTATTCCACGACATTGGGCTAACAGAAACTCCTCATTTTCATATTTCACACACAAAAATGATAGATTTTCCAAAGCTGTGTAAATATTAGGGAGAAACCTACCTCCTTCAGGTGTTGTGAATTCCAGAATTTCACTCCGAGGCCCATCTCCTCTCCCGTTGACTACAACCATTTCCAATTTGTAGTTGCTATAAGGAAACAGCCGGGACACTATGCCCCGTGTCCGGTCTCCAATAAAACCCATAGACTGCTTTTTCTTAGAGACCCATAGATTCTTCAGCAAACTACTTTCTCTCCAGTAATAAGCCTTCAAGAAACAGGTAAGGCAAATAAAGCTTCTCTTGTTTTAGCGTTATTAAAAATATACCTGCGCATTTTCAGCTTTCACACAAGAATTAGCTCAAGCATAAAAGTCATTCCACAAGGAAGAAGGAGACCGACAACATAAAGTCACGCTACAGGATTAACAACAACCTATTTTCTCTGCCCCTAAAACTAGACCAGGATTTCAGCCTTCAAAATGTTCATTCTTTTTATCTCTCACTGATGACTTCATAGTTTGACACAAAATGTTGTCTGTCCAAGTTCACTTGTGGCCAGTAAGAGTCCATTAATTTTGAGATATAAATGGTATGAGAAGAAAAAGATGCAAAAAGAATATCCTGTGAAAAAAAATGTTCAGATTGGAAAATGTATTAGAATAGATTTCTCTCACCTGGTGTTTTAAGCAACTGTCTTTGATGGCTGGGAATTCTGGAAGCTGAACTCCCAATACATCTGAGAAACCATGGTAAGAGAAAGCTAAGGTAAAGATATGCCATTGCCACAGTTCCAACAGGGCTTTTAACATTGGTTTTTTTGAGTTTTTTGGTTTATTTGTCTGTTGTTTTTTGTTAATTTGACAAAAGCTGATTTTAAAAAAGTTTTTAAACACAATCATCAGGATAAAATCCATTTGCTATTGTTTTGGGAGATCATTATTCAATTAGCACATTTATTAAATTCTGATTAGGCCAAAATAGAATGTTCACGTGTTGATTAATAAAACATGCCAAATGCACATGAAGGATGACACAAAAGTTGGGAAACCATCTGAGAAGCTGCTTTTCTTAATCACAGTAAGTCAAATTCAGGAAGTTCAGAATGAAGAAAGAAGCCAGTTCTATATTATTAGCTGAAGAGGTGTATACAGCATAGCAGCTACTCTGAACTGCCCTTTTGTTCCAAACCAATCAATGATCAGATGATTAAAACTACTGATATACAGATGATACAGCATGGAGTATGGATATGTTTGGCTAAATTGACCAAATTATGACGTTTCGTACAATGATTCATTAATTTTTTACTTTTCGAATGTATAAGTTTGCCTTCAGATGGCAGAATTTTTTTTTAAATACTACAGTTGTATTATGCATGAAAATAAGATTTTAAAAATGTATAGTAAACTTTGGAAAAATGAGACTATGAAGCTTTCAAGCAAAAAACACATAAATCCTGTAAATCCAAAGCTGGATTAAAACGTATCATGTTAAATGAGGTAAGACTGCAAAAATTCACCAAAATATTAAAATGAGCACTGTTAAATCACCCCAGCTTTCTTCCTGACAAAGAAAAAATAATAATTTGACTGTCAAGTCTTGAAACCTGCCTCTCCACAACACTCAGCACTGAGCCCAAGAAGAATATTGTTCTAATATACCATATTTGCAGTCAAAACTTACATCTGCCTTAAGTATAATTAGTGCATATGTATTCTTCTCCAACGTTTGGGGCTACAACGTCTGGACTTCTCAGCCAAAATAATTGTGAATTCTGAGAGGATTTAAAGAAGACATTCATCTGAAATGGTACAGGGTCTCCTCCTTGAGCAGGGGTTGGGTTAGAAGACCTCCAAGGTCCCTTCCATCTCTACTGAAGTATACTCCTGGACTATCTAGGAAACACTTGGTAGAAGGTAGTTGCAACTAAAAGATGCCCTATTATTGAGTAATGATTTTTCTATGGAACTAAAAGAAGAAGAAAACTCTTTTGGATCTGAATTTGATATATGTTTTCTTTGCTGTAAATACTATCTTCTTAAAAATGGTCTCCATGTCTTTCAGCAGCTTTTAGATCATTTGTGTCATCTCCATTTTACTATGTGCAACAGATCATCTCGTCAGTTATCATTAGTGACAAGGGTTAGCCATATTAATAGTACCAAATAGTACCAAAATTATTGGGATTTGGTTGTGCTCACTCTATATTCCTTGAGCTGTCCCTGGATGGTTTCTGGGTACACTTTACTCCATTGAAGGCTGATTGCTGTACTGTTTACAACTTTGAGCCTAATATCAGTAGGGGCAGCCTTAGGATCTAAGTGTAAGGAATAAAGCAAAGCAGAAATTAACAACCCAACAATACCTGAAAGAAAATTAAATATGAGAGAAAACTATTTTTTTTTTAAGCTGCAGAAGGTTGTTCCATATCACTGTCTCAGTAGTTGTACTATCTTGTCAAAAATACGATGCTGCCATCTCATGGACACAGAAAGTAATTTCACATTCACACAGTTTTTGTATAGTGGCGGGACTGATCCTACCACCATTTTTTAAAAATTTGCTATTGACATCACATTATTACAGTACTTATAACAGGTTCACAAAATTAATGCTACTAGCAGAAGCCCCAACTTTTAAAACCACTTTATGGCATCACACAAGCAGACAGGATCGTCCAAAATCATTATAAAGATGAACAGAACACCACCAATTTAAAAGGAAAGAAAGACATGGGGATGGGAAACAGCTTAGTTCTCTCTCACACACATATACACACTCTTTCAATATGATAGTCTAAATGTGCATCCATAGAAACCCAATTATAAAGTAGAATTATCATCATCATAAGGGAGAATTATCAATTATCACATTTTACATTTTGTCAGTTTTGTCAATCTGCTATGAGATATTCATTACATACTCTAGCCTACAAGAGCAACCTGAACACCATATATTATTTCCTGTGCAATGCTCTACATATGTTACTTAGTAGGTAAAACAAGAAATAACACTGCTATTTATTCTACCGAACTGAATGCTTTTAATGAAAAGTGTGTGATGTCTTGCATCCAAAGGAAAGAATCTGGCTATTTTATTTCCTTGTTTTCTCTTATTTCTGAAGGCAAGCTTGTATTTTTACCAACAGATCCCAAAGGTTTCATGAATAAACATTAAATTGATTGAATTTTATATTACAATCATAAACCATTATATTAATTGTAAAGATACAACATATATATTTGAAACTGATTATAGAAAGGAAGGAAGGAAAGAAGGAAGGATCTATTATGGCAAAAGAAACTTCCTTGTAATCATGAAAATGGATAAAGCTTTAAAAGAAACTTTGATTTTATGACTGTGCTGTCTGTAGTCCTGAAACAACAGTGCTTATTCATATTGTCCCACATTTGATAATGGGTGGTGATAATGGGTTGTATGAAACATGGAAGTGGAGCTTTACAGCTACAATTATTCCACCAGACTCCTCTTTTTCCATGTATTTTTTTCTTTCCAAATGTGTATTAGAAAGAGCCACGGAGCACTCTCTGGACCCACTCTCTGCCACTTGCAATATTCATGATGGGCTAGAGTAAAGACAGTTAGCCCCCACTGTAGCCTTCATGTTCAGACTACAGTAACTAAAACTGATCTCATAAACTCAGACTGGTTGGTCTAACTTCAGCAAGTATCTTAGTATGTCAAAGTAGTTAACAATCTTATTGCAATAGGTACTCAATGACCAACTGATTTTATTCCAGAATTAGTCCTCTTTAATGTACATCTAGTTATGACACAGAGTATAAGGTTTTAGACGATGAACCTTCAGTTTCAAACAGTCCTTCCTTAGGTAAATAGTGATGGTGGCGAACCTTCCAACTATCTAGATCTACATAAGGTCAAGAAGCTGAGGCTTAGATAAAAAAAAAAGAGAGAGATTGATTATGGACAGGTGGTTTTAGGTCTAAAACAAGGAGCCTGACCTTGATGAACAATGTTCCCTCCAAAAATGCTGTATAATAAACAAAGTTTGAGTGGCCTTTGTGGGGCCTAAGAGGGATATCCCCCAGCTTCAGTTGGTGTGGATTTACATCTATATTTGAAGAGAGATATTGCAGCCTCAATAGTAATTCCTTGATAATTTCATAACTGGATTACTAGATCATGCCCAATTATTGTTTATTTAACTGTTCTGATCATTTTTAGAAGGAAGAGAGTTAAGAGAAATTGGAAACAGGTATTACGCCCACCTGCCCAACCCATTATTCACAATGTCTGTAACTGACACTTGCACTCGTATTCCAGAAAGATTATGACCGTTTTTAAATATTATAGAGTCACTGTTTTAAAAATAATACATTCCTTCAAGTCATTTAGCTGAAAACATAAATTATCCAAGACAAGATACATAGTTGAATTAATACTAAGTCCAAATCAGTGGTGGGATTAAATTTTTTTTTTACTATGGGTTCTGTGGCCGTGGCTGGGTGGGCATAGCTGGGTGGGTGTGGCCATGTGACTGGGTGGGCATGGCTTTTTTCACTTTTTTGCAGCCACCCCGCAACCCATTTTTTGGGCCTTCTGGGCCTCAGAGGAGACTCTAGGGGGGTGTTTTTGCTCTCAGAAGGCTCCTCTGGGGCTCAGGAAGAAAATAAAACAGCATGGGAGGGGCACGCAGCACCCCTCCATGCTCCGTTTTGGGATCTTCCTGGCCTCAGAAGAGTTTCAGGAGGGCATTTTTGCTCCCAGAAGGCTCCTCTGGGACTCAGGAAGAAAAAAAATGGAGGGTGGGACTGAGACCCTCCCTCCATTTTTTGCCTTCCTGAGCCTCAGCAAGGGGAATCCCGGCACATCTGATAGTATGAACAGCTCATTGTTGGGAGGGGGAAAAAAAGAAATACCTTAAGGGGTGAGTGTCAGGTGGGCAGGGTAAGCGAGCATCAGGCGAGCAGAGCAAGTGAGCCAGCAGCGACCGGGTGACCGAATTGGGGGCGTGGCCAGCCAGAACTTAGTACCGGTTCAGCGACTCATGTCATATCTTTGCTACTGGTTCACCCGATCCAGTGCAAACCAGCTGAATACCACCACTGGTCCAAATCCTTACTATATGAATCCAAACTTTAGATACTACGCCATCTTATCTCTTCTATTGGCTAAATCAGTTCATTTATTTTTACATCTGTTATTTGTACCTATTTTACTATTATATTCCTGCCAACTTACCTTAGTTGTCCAAATTACATGTTATGTGCTGTGTTATGCAAACAGACTTCTGTTTGCATATTGAGATTTTCTTTTTTCCTTCTTTTTTGCTCGAAACCCCTATGATTTCTCTGAAGGATTCACCGAATTTCCAGAACAATTTTGGAAAATAGAAAATGAAGTACTTCTTTTATCAGCAAATGCCAATTTCAATTAATATTTGTGTTTCAGTTTCATTTCCATAACCTGAATACTTTTTAACCACACAATGTTGGGATAGCTTATCTCCTGAATTATTTATTGTAGGCAAATTTCAGCCAGTTGCACTGCGTATATTTAAACGCAAAGAAAATTTCTTAACATTTGTAAAAGTCAGATGTGTCAGAAAAAAAGAATTTCTAAGAATAGTGAATGTATGGGTATTGATGCCTGTGGTTTGTGAAAAGGCAAGGCATTCCAGATATTTTGAACATTTTCATTTCATTCTGAGAAAAATAATGCCTATTGCTGCACTTGAATACCCCTTTTGGCAAAATGCTGATCATGACAGATCTAGTATTAAAAGTTTGCCAGTTATTACCAACAAGTAAGAAGTGAATGCAATTTGCCTTCTCTATTTCCAACTTTCTCGGACTATGGAAATACTCACAATCTTCCCCTGAGTAGCCAATTACGATGTCTGGCTCCATGGCAATCCCATAATCATTTAAAGCTTGTACTTTGATCTCGTATGGTGTATAGATAGGTGTTGGCGCGACGGTATACTGACTGACATCACCCCTTACAGTTCGGTTGTTCCAACTCTCCCGTGTGTCTCTTCTTCTCCACTTCACAATGTATTTGAGATTGGGGCCATACACTTGAGTTGCATTTAATGGCTAGAGAACAAAAGAAAGAAGACAATTATGGCTTAGAATATCAGGGGTATATTCCTGTATACTGTATCTCTTCTATGACTGTTGGAGATTCAGCACCACAACAGATCTAAAAACAAACAGGTTCACTTGAAATGCAAAAGAAATTAGTCAGGCAAATTTTGGCTGATTTGCCAAATTGGAATTCACTGGACCACAGGCAAGAACACAACTGACATAACCTGCAAATGTTTAATGTGGATTAAAAGGCTTCACATATAAAAAGTTAGAAAGTTACATATAAAATAAAGTAATAAATAAAGTACAATTGCATTAAAAAGAGCATACACCAAGAAAAATGGTTTATTTTAGATACAAATTAAGACTTGCCTTTTATTTTTCCTTTTATGCTTTAGTACTGATATAAACCTTTTATAGTGCTTTAATATTCAATACCACACTATTAGTTTTAAGATTATAAATCTGTTGGACATTATTTGGAGTCATTGTGGAAAGACAACAAATTGCAGCAGCAAAGGAAGAATTCAATAGCCACATTAATGATCAATAGTCAGAATTTACAACAGGGCTATGGAGCTAGAAGAAGAAAATGTCCAGAATCTTTTCCAGTTGTGACTATTTTCACCTCCAGGAGTAGGTCTATGTTATAAAGCATATAAAGCCCTGGAACAATATATATTTGATGCTCCTTTGTGCCATTGTTCTTTGTAATATGTTCTAATACCACACTTTGTAGAAAAACCTTGGAATGATGATGACTTATGGTACAAATATACATGTTATAAACAAGTAACTTCTCTCAGGATAACTCACCGTCCATGATATAACCATATTATTTTTTGCTGTTCCTGATCCTTTAACTCCTGAAGGATTAAATTCAGGGCCTGAAATAAAGGTAAATACTGAGCAAACAATAATATTTGTCTCTATCTTTTTAAGCAATACCCCATTGTTTATAGACAGAAAATCTGGAATACAATGCTGATACATTTACGAGACCCACATATTTTAAATTAGACATTTAAATTGATTTAAATCAATTAGACATTATAAGTTTTTCAACAAAAGAATAAGTTAGGCAACCATTTCTGCTCCTACAGTGATGATAGCCATTATCTCCAGGTATTTAATAATTTGAAAGTGGAATACAGTACAAAATGGGGTCAATTTGACAAAGAAAATCTATCTGTATTATTTGAGATTTTTAATATTTTATTGTTTCAAATCCTAAATCTCAAAATCCAAGTGTTCACTTGATGATATTATAATCTGAAAACTGATCAGCAGAAAAATACTTGGTAATGTCAGGATTCCAGCGATTGCTATGACAGGTAGACTGCTGAATCTGTCAGAATAATTTCATACATTAGTTTTCAGTTATACAGCAAAAAAAGCCTTCTATGTACTTGTAAGAATGGAATAGTATAATATATTTGCAAGTACACCTCTTTCTCAGGAGTATTTGCCACTTGTGGCATCTGTCCATGTTTGCAGACTTTTTTCAAGCTTTCTTTTCATTTTAAGGGTATACATGAATTCAAGCCAGTTAGCACTTACGTGCCCCATTTGTATGGTAACGTTCAGAAGGCAGACTGGGATAACTGCTTCCTACATCATTCACAGCTATTACTCGGAACTGATAGTTGACATATGGTGCAAGGCGCAAGATGGCGGAGTTCACATTTCCTGGGTAACGGGAATGGTTATGCCAAGTTCCAGGTTGGAATTTATCCTCCTCAAATTCCACAATATAATCTAGAAGACAGAAATGTGGGATCCCCTAATTTGCGATGTAATTACTGGTAATCAGGCTTACCGTGAAATACAAACAATGAACAAAGCATGAATGGTATCATTTCACTCACCCGTGATTGGGCTGTTGTTGTCATCACCAGGAATCCAAGTTAACCTCACACTCCTTTCAGCAAGGTCTGTTAGTTCAAGGTCACGGGGACGTTCTGGACGTGCTACCAGCAAAACAATATGCAAAATATAGGTTTCCCTAATGAATAGTGAAGGTCCCAGTCCTTTTAGGCTTTCCATTAAAGTTCATATCTCTATGTTGTATATGGTAATAAGGTCAAGTTTAAACTTGTCACAGAAAAAGATGGGAATTGGATATTAAAACAAGTGGTACTACTTCAGACTGATACTAAATTATTAAAGTATAGAATTCTGTCCCACACAAAAAGTAGTCTGAGTAGAAAATTCACCAAGATATGCTACTTTTTTTCCCCTTTGCAGGGATAATTTTTAGGGGAGTACTGCAAAATGGCATCCACCTGGTAACCTTGAAATACCACACTCTATTATTTGTTTCAAATTTTATATACCTCTGTGGCATGAATAAATGAGGCTGAAGGCTCTCTACCATCAGAGTAAGGATTTTAGAACCAATTGTTTAGAGAGAGTTTTAGGTTTTAGATAAATAATAAGTAAGAATATTTAGTGATTGTTACTCTGATTCATGGAAGTACAGAAGAAAATTGTAAAAAACACTGCACTGTTCCAGCATCGTTTGTGGTCTGCCCATATGGATGTGTTGCATTTTTTTATCAACTGTAGAGATGTAGAAAACATTTTGAATTAAAACTGTTTCAAATTTAAAACATCCCACTTTTTTAAAAAATCCTAAACGGTATGTTTTAAGCATTTTGAAATTGTTTTTGAATTTGAAACACTTGATGTTTTGAGACTGAGTGGCTCAAAATTTGAAACACGTTCAAAATGTGGCATGTTCCAACTGCAAAATAGTCTGAATTTGAAAATGTTAAAGTAAATGCAAACATTCATACAGGGAGGAGAAGAAAATCCTTGTCAATATCAGAATTGGGCATTTGTCCTAGTAGCCTATACTAAGCTGTAGTTTAATGACTCCTAGTAGTAGATTCGTTTACTTTTACACTCTATGCAACAAGCTGTACAACAGAATTCTAGATGTCTTCCTATTTCCCAATTATGACTACTGCTGAGGGATGAGTATCCCAACACAGTTATACTTTCAGTAGAACTCTAATTAAAGTTATTTCGATGACTAAGCAGCAACAAAAGAAAAAAATTCAAAGAGATTGATGGATTAGTACTGATTACCTGGGGGTGGGGTCATACGGTTAACAGAAGAAGGAGCTGCAAAGTAAGATATTAGCCGTTTAGAGAGTTAGGATCAATAGTTAAACATAAGTAATTGAAGAATTATAGTTTAGCTTTTAAACCATGGGTGAACAAGCTGCAAAGTTCATTCATTCGGTTGACAGAAAACAGATTGCGGGTTTCCTGTGGCACAAAACCAAGCCACCTGGCCTCTAACCAGTAGCAGATCATCTGATTATCTGTCTGGTGGGATAACATAGCTTACATCCTTCTGATAATGAGAGTGAGAACTCAACAATATGCGCTGAATTGCTGAAAGGGATAAGGATGAGGAAGGGAGAGAGATGAACTATATGTATTCCTTTGGTATAAGCCAGTTTATGTAAAAGGATACATGTCCAATAAATGTGCATGCACATCTCCAATCCCTTGTACAAAGACAAAGTTGTACAAAAAAAAATCTGGTACAAAGACAAAAGGATGACTAATCCATACTTTAAATCAAGTTTTAAATTGAACTAGTACTTTGAAGAGATTCCTAAACATATTTAAATTATTTTTGCATCTCTTCCCTACCTTACAGAGAAGACTAAAATACAAAGGAACTACTGTGTTTAATCAGCTCTGGGACACATCTTCGCTTTTCACCATTAGGACTCATAATTATTGTGTACAAGCAAGATTATTTTAAAGCAGTAAATAATGAAAATAAGTCAGCCAGTTGAACATGGTTAATAGAATATTACATTTTTAAAGAATTAAGATTGTTTCTTTTTCTTTTTTTGCTGTACATTCCATTTTCTATAATTGAGAGAAACAAGTTATAACTTTTGCCTAAATAAGTTGTCTATGATACTTAGAATGTACACCAAATTCAAGAAAATTGAAAGGAAGACTTACCAAGTACAGTGAGATGGGCTCTGGCAGTATCCTTGTCTAGTTCAGTGCTAGCCACACAGGTATAATATCCTTGATCTTTTTCTGATACTCCATGTATAGTCAAACCATCTTCTTCTTTCTTCATCCTTTTCAGTGCAGAAGCATTACAAGTAAAAACATTATGGAAACACATATCTCTTAGAAAAACATGAATGACAGCTACTGATGTGCCTATTACTGTATACTTTTGTAAAAACGAGATAGAAATTAAATAATATCCTATAACATATTACAAATTGGTTTTTTTTTGGAGCCAAGAAAAGTATTATAAAATTAGAAAAACAAAATAATTAACTTTAAATTATTTTATTTTCTTATCAGTGAAGGATGTGGATCTCAAGCTGATTTATTTAAAAATATGGTTTGAACAAAATCCTTGAGGATCTCCAATTTTGATTTCAATTTTGATGTCTATTAGCTATTTGTTGAGAAGGTTGTAATACTTCGCTGAAACTGTACTCCTATCTGAACTGATTTGCGGAGGGCTAAAGCACATTCAAGGTGAAATATAATGTATCTACAAGTGAGAATTAAATTGTCTATTTTTTTTTCTCATTTGGGAAAGTGAGCACTTATTTTTATAACTGGTTTTGTGCATTTTTAGCTCAAATGATGGGAAATCACACTTTATTTTGGAAATCTCATCTCTGAAATTTTACAGTGTAATTGGAGGTCTATGTTTTGAAAGACATCAACGATGCAGGATGCAACTCCAGAATCACTAATGGTATAACATTGTAAAAAAATCATCTTTGGGAGACATTTTGGCAGCCTCTGAGAAAAGGTTTAAAATTATGATTTATATGTATATCTTATTTTTTAAAGTTTATGATTTAAAAGTTAGCATGTTTAACTCATAGGCACATATATGAGTTAATGTGCATGCACATACCCATACAAAGGGTTTAATTTAGTTTATTTTGGTGTTTTTGTAGACATTAATTTATAAACTGCTTTTTTGATCAATTTCCAAATGCTGCTATGCCTGGAATACTAAACAGAGACATACCTAATAGAGGGAATCTGGCACACTTAATTAATTATGTTGGTATGTTTTCTGAGATTATTTTTATGATCTGAAAACAGTATTAGCCTGATAAATAAAAGCTCATTAACTTTAATCAAGGAAATTGAACTTCTGAGAATTTAAAAAGGAAAGTGTTATTTAATTTTTTATCAAGTAGATAACTTTAAAAAAAATGATTTAGTTTTAAAGTTAAAAACCAACAAGCTCAGTCTAGAAAACATATTGTACTGTTTTGGAGAGAAATATATACATTCTCCATTTTAAATGACTAAGATAAAATTGAAGGCATCAAAAATGTAGTATTAAAAAAGAATTACACAAACATTGTTTTTTCAGAAGTGATGTTTTTAAATGAGCAAGTAAAAAATCAGTAACTTCTGGTGAAAAAAAATCATTAATTTTAGAACATAATTTTTAACAAGAGATATCAAACATTTTTTCCAGTTTTTTATTGCTCCATTTCTGCATACAAAACATGGCTTTTGCTATTACATTTTTTTCCATCATCAATTTACTCCTCTTCCAAATAGCAATAGATGTAATTCTCACAATCAAAATGGGAAAATTCTGTAATAATTACTTATATCCTAGAGTAGCTGAATAGGCTAAAATTTTGAGAAATATATCATCTAATAAAAGAAAGATGAAACTGACCTGTTTCCAAAGTAGACAGGAATATCATCTTTAAGCCAGGTAACTGTAAGCCGTAATGTGGGGTCATGTCTTGTCTGGCATACTAAGTGAATTGTGGAACCTTTCTTTGGTATAGCATCTTTGGGTCCCTCTATGATCCTTGTGGGATCTGCAAAGAGTTAGATAGTAGTCTAGGATTATTAGTGAACTATTTAATTTATTTGAAGTCCTCAAGCTAGTCTCTTCAAGATGTTTGAAGGGAATGGAGTTAGGGGAGTCTAGTTTAAGCACTAGGAAATAGAATCTAATAAAAGAATGTAACACTGACAGATTGTCTACTATTGCTTTATTCATCAAGGAATAAGTGATGATAAATCTCTCCGTTTCTATCATTTATTTTTTTCCTGATATTTATCCACTGTTAAGCCTTGCAATCCTTCTTGTACTCACCAGACACATTCTAATGCATACCCTAGTACTTTGGAGGTGTAATTCAGCTCAAAAGATTCAGCCCCACAGATGGCAATAGGTTTTACCCCAAATTGGTATGACAAGGACACAACCAATATGTAACCAATCTTTCTGATAAATCATCAAGAATTCTTTGTTGTTGCTTAATCCTTCTCTGCAGTTCACAGCATCTGCTCAAAAAATGTTCAAAGGAAGGTGCAGTGTAAATAAGGCACTCATTCAGTTCACTCCTTTTGGTTTGTTTCCCTTTATTCAATGTTTGAACCACTCTCATCTTTCTTTATACACTGCTCAAAAAAATAAAGGGAACACTTAAACAACACAATGTAACTCCAAGTCAATCACACTTCTGTGAAATCAAACTGTCCACTTAGGTAGCAACACTGATTGACAATCAATTTCACATACTGTTGTGCAAATGGAATAGACAACAGGTGGAAAGCATAGGCAGTTAGCAAGACATCCACAATAAAGGAGTGGCTCTGCAGGTGGTGACCACAGACCACTTCTCAGTTCCTATGCTTTCTGGCTGATGGTTTGGTCACTTTTGAATGCTGGGGGTGCTTTCACTCTAGTGGTAGCATGAGATGGAGTCTACAACCCACACAAGTGGCTCAGGTAGTGCAGCTCATCCAGGATGGCACATCAATGCAAGCTGTGGCAAGAAGGTTTGCTGTGTCTGTCAGCGTAGTGTCCAGAGCATGGAGGCACTACCAGGAGACAGGCCAGTACATCAGGAGACATGGAGGAGGCTGTAGGAGGACAACAACCCAGCATCAGAACCACTACCTCCGCTTTTGTGCAAGGAGGGACAGGAGGAGCACTGTCATAGCCCTGCAAAATGACCTCCAGCGGGCCACATATATGCATGTGGCTGCTCAAACGGTCAGAAACAGACTCCATGAGGGTGGTATAAGGGCCCGACGTCCACAGGTGGGGGTTGTGCTTACAGCCCAACACCGTGCAGGACGTTTGGCATTTGCCAGGGAACACCAAGATTGGCAAATTCGCCACTGGCGCCCTGTGCTCTTCACAGATGAAAGCAGGTTCACACTGAGCACATGTGACAGACGTGACAGGGTCTGGAGACGCCATGGAGAACGCTCTGTTGCCTGCAACATCCTCCAGCATGACCAGTTTGGCAGTGGGTCAGTAATGGTGTGGGGTGGCATTTCTTTAGGTGGCCGCACAGCCCTCCATGTGCTCGCCAGAGGTAGCCTGACTGCCATTAGGTACCAAGATGAGATCCTCAGATTCCTTGTGAGACCATATGCTGATGCGGTTGGCCATGAGTTCCTCCTAATGCACGACAATGCTAGACCTCATGTGGCTGGAATGTGTCAGCAGTTCCTGCAAGACGAAGGCATTGGTGCTATGGACTGGCCCACCCGTTCCGCAGACCTGAATCCTATTGAGCACATCTGGGACATCATGTCTTGCTCCATCCACCAATGCCACGTTGCGCCACAGATGTCCAGGAGTTGGGGGATGCTTTAGTCCAGGTGTGGGAGGAGATCCCTCAGGAGACCATCCGCCACCTCATCAGGAGCATGCCCAGGCATTGTAGGGAGGTCATACAGGCATGTGGAGGCCACACACACTACTGAGCCTCATTTTGACTTGTTTTAAGGACATTACATCAAAGTTGGATCAGCCTGTAGTGTTTTTTCCACTTTAATTTTGAATGTAATTCCGAATCCAGACCTCCATGGGTTGCTAAATTTGATTTCCATTGATAAATTTTGTGTGATTTTGTTGTCAGCACATTCAACTATGTAATGAACAAAGTATTTAATAAGAATATTTCATTCATTCAGATCTAGGATGTATTATTTTTGTGTTCCCTTTATTTTTTTGAGCAGTATATTTTCCTGCTGCTTTTTCCTTTTCTAAATTTCTTTTATTGTCTCATGGGCATCAATAAACTGGATAATGCAACAAGACTGAATGACAGGTTCCTCTTCGAGTTGAAGCTTCTGCAATTTCTATCTCTGTTGTCAAGCTCAAGAAACTCTTCATAACATTTAGATAAACAGAATGGAAATTGCATTTGCTTGCAGGGTATTAGGACATCTTTTGCAAGTGTGAGGTTCTTTGGTCTAATGTTGAACACGTAGCAAAGGTTTACAGAACCTACCATTGAAGAAGTCCATTTAACTGTAATTTAATGTTTCTATTCTTTCCAATTGCCAAAATAAGCTTCACTAAAACATCACACCTTCTTTATGAATAGGATATATGCTACGTTTGGAAACCACATCTCTCCCCAATATTTGGAAAATACCTGTGGTTTGCTGAAGCAGAAGCCACCTTACCTTTTATTTCCAAACGAACCTGGTTCTGTGCTTTGCCCAGAAGATTGGTAGCCACACAGGTGTAAGTTCCCTGGTCTTCTTTCCGAGCCCTGATGATTTCTAACGTTCCATTTTCATGTGCTTTATAGTTGCCACCATGCAGTGTACTTCCCTGGCCGTTCTTAAACCTCATGAAACAAGAATAAATTATTTTAAATATTCAATATACAAACCACCAAAATGGGGTGTGGTCTGTGTGTCCAACCTGTGGCCCACAGTCTGTCTGAAGCCCTGGATGTGGCCTCACAAGATCATAACTTTTAACATTATTATATGATATATGTACATTAACTATATTATATATTTTATATATGGCCCAAGACAATTCTTCTTCATTCGATGTGGCCCAGACAAGCCAAAACTTTGGACACCCATGCACAAAAGGAATTACTACCTAACCTTCTCCAGGTGGTCTATCGATTTATTTGAAATATATATAAATCTAGATAAAGTGTATCTACTTTTAATAATGGCTACTTTGTCCTTCCAATGCCATATTGGTAACTTGGATATCTGCTGATTTTTTAAAAAATGTTTCTGTCTTATTTATTAACAGTAATATAATCAATGCAAAAACCAGATATATACTAAAAAGATGCTGTGGCTTAATAATAAAATTCTTACCATCGTAATGTGGGAATTGGGGATCCAAAGAATGGACAGTCAAGAAGCGTCCGGTTGTTCTGAATCACTTTAATCAGCTGGTTACGAGGGACAAGGATCCGAGGAACAACATCTTAAAACAACAAAAGTGCATTGTCTGTAGAACCAGTCAGCACTGTTATTTTGCTTTACTGCAAATGTTCTATGCTAATGTTTAAATTTTCAGATTTAAGTTTTTGACTGCTTAGATTTTGCCTGAACTTTTCAAATATGAAATATTTCATAATATTTATGAAGATTTTATTTTTAAAAATTATACTTTGATGATTGTGATTTATTGAACGATAGTGTTTTCCCACTATAGTTGGGGAACCTACATGGCTACTCTTATTTGATATATTTTTACACCAAATATTAAAAAAAATCTAGGTAAAGAGCAAACAACAGCAACACCAAAACAAGAAGATGGATTTAAGCTTTCCCTTCAATTCTTCTCACAATAATTATCTTTTACCTATTTCATCTCAACTTACTCATTTCTACAGTCAGAAAAATTCCAACTTTTAAGTTCTTATCTTCATATGCTCACAATTAAATTCCTTCCAAACTTTTTTTAGATTGGATGGTAATGAAACAGTCCTGCATAAGAACGCATAAACCTGTGTATTTGGCAAGTCAGATTAAGAGGGAAAGCACTCTTTAAATGAATAGAGACATGGACATATATAAAAAAGAACAGGAGAACTTAGGCTTACTTTATAAGGGAAATAAAAAGACACTTAGGTTTAACAGCTCCCTAGGGAGATGACTCATTAATCCAAACCAAAGATAGGACCAATTGTTTACCAAAGACAATTCTAAAAGGAAGAATCTACTTTAAAATAAAATAAAACCTGACTGTAGTTTGAATCTCTACTGCTATCTAATTAAGTGTGAGATCATATGCTACGTACAGTATAAAAGGGTCTTTGATATATTTTCTATATAGAAAAATTTCAAGGGCATAGTAAAAAAAAATCCTAGCAGTATCCCAGATGGGACTAGGAAGACTGGATTGGGATGATTTAGTTTATTATTATTATTCTGCAATTTTGGCTTTTTATGATATCTTCATTCAAAATTGAAATGAAAATGATTAAGTCTTTGTGCATTATAATCTATGGCATTTTACACACACACATACACACACACACACACACACAAAATAAGACAACAATTTTTTAACTAAGGTACTTCAAATGGGCTAACTTAAAGAATGTGTAAAACTCCAGGACCCAGACTCCTGGAGTTGAAATTTGGAAAATTTTATTTTAAAAAATTATGACATAAAAATTATTATAAATCAGTTTATGGAATGATACAAAACATCACAAAACATTTCAGGTGTTGATGTTTGACTGTGCTACAAAGTTCAACATGGACTATTTCCAAGCAGATACATCTCTGTATCTCTGTATCCTCTGAAAGAAATATCAATGAAATTTTATTTATTTATTTATTTTTATTTGCCAATGGCTTACAAGATAATAGGTATAAGTAAAAACATAGTTATGAATACATGGATACATATAAGAAAAATAAAAAATATATAAAAGAAACAATAGGACAGGGACGGTAGGCACAATTGGTGCGCTTATGCACGCCCCCTACAGACCTCTTAGGAAAGGGTTGAGGTCAATAGTAGACAGTCTAAGGTTAAAGTTTTTGGGGTTTGGAGAAAAAACCACAGAGTCAAGTAGCGTATTCCAGACATTGACCACTCTGTTGCTGAAGTCGTATTTCCTGCAATCAAGTTTGGTGCGATTAACCTTGAGTTTGTATCTATTGTTTGCTCTAGTGTTGTTATGGTTGAAGCTGAAGTATTCATTGACAGGTAGGACATTGCAATGTATGATTTTATATACTATACTTAGATCGGACCGAAGGCGGCGTAGTTCTAGTTTTCTAGGTCTAGAATTTCGAGTCTGGTGGCATAAGGTATTCTGCAACGAGTAGAGGAGTGGAGAACTCTTCTTGTGAAATATTTCTGGACTTTCTCAATTGTGTTAATATCAGATACGTAATGTGGGTTCCAGACTGATGAGCTGTATTTGAATATTGGTCTAGCAAATGTTTTGTATGCTCTAGTTAGTAGTATAATATTACCAGAGAAAAAGCTATGTAAGATTAGGTTAACAACTCTTAACGCCTTTTTGGCTATGTAGTTACAGTGGGCTCTAGCACTTAGGTCATTTGAGATAAGTACTCTGATTTTTTTTTCCAATATGTAGGACAGAGCATTTATTTGTTGAGATTTGAAGTTGCCATTTGTTTGACCATTCTGATACATAGTCAAGGTCTTTTTGAAGGGTAGCAGTATTGTCTGTGATGTTGAATAGCTTTACATCATCAGTGAAGAGAATGCAGTTGCTTTTGATATGATCACAGAGGTCATTTATGTAGAGTATGAAAAGACTTGGTCCTAGAACACTGCCTTGGGGGACACCACTGTTGACAGGTACAGAATTTGATAGGATGCTCCCAATTTTGACCATTTGTTGTCTGTTTGACAGGAATGCTTCTATCCAGTTACGCAGGTGTCCAGAGATACCGTAAGATTTTAGTTTTTGGAGTAGTTTGCCGTGTACCACTGAATCAAAGGCTTTACAGAAGTCTATGTAGATTGTGTCTATTGCTTTGCCCTGATCAAGTTGTGTAGTCCATATGTTTTTGCAGTGTAAGAGTTGCAGATTACATGATAGTTTTTTTTCCTAAAACCAAATTGTTTATTAGAGAGTAGGTTGTTTGTTTCTAAGTGGAGGATGATGGATTGGTTAATAATTGATTCCATGATTTTACAGGTGATGCAGCATAAAGAGATTGGTCTGTAATTTTCAACTAGACTGGGGTCTCCCTTTTTGAAGATGGGGATGACCGTGGGCAAAGTTTTGGCAAGGAGCTGGTCCTGAAAGATTATGCTTAGAGGTTCAGCTATGGCAGTGGATAGCTTTTTTAAGAAGTAGGCACATATTCCGTCTGGTCCAATAGATAGAGATGGTTTTAGATTGTGCAGTGCTTTTTCAACAATGTCTTCTGTAAAATTGATATGTATTAGATCATTGTAGTTGTCTGTGGTTTGACTAGGAAATACTGGGCATGATCCATTGCTGTTTACAAATACTGAGCCAAAGAATGTGTTAAAGAGGTTGGCTTTAATGGTGTCGTCATTGCAGTCTTTACCATTAGGTCCTTTCAGGGGTGGGGTGGACCTTGAGTCTTTTAGTTTGTTGTTTATAAAACTGTAGAAAGCGCTGGTGGAATTGATGCATAGAAGGTTTTCTTCTTGTTTAATGTGATAATTAGTGCATTCAGTTTTTATCTGGTGGCATAAATTTTTGTATCGGCTTTTGAAGTTGGCAACGTGACCAGATTTGTTTTTCCGCCAAAGTGATCTCTTTTTGGATTGAAGCTTCCTTATTGTTATGGGTAATTTGTTTTTTCTGGTTTTGGGAGTTGTTAATGGTACATATAGTTTGATGACTTTTTTGACTTCAAGTAAAAATATGTTGTAATGGTCTTCTACAGTATTGTACCCAGAGTATAGAAATTGCCAATCAAGGGATGAGAGATCATTGTCTATAAGATCATAGTTGCCTTTTTTGAAGTTATAATTGGGGACTCCGTCATTGTGATGATTTTTGTGTGGACGTATGTTGAGACAAAAGTCAATCATGTTGTGGTCACTGTTGGAAAAGGGTTCTTTAATTTGTATTCCGTAAATTGAATACAAACTATTGCAGAAGATGAGATCGAGACAGTTAAGTCTAGTGTTGGTTACTAGTTATTCTAGTCCCAGATTTATTACTGCATTGTAGAAGGTTGCATGTATGGGTTCAGTTGTACATTTGTTAAGGGTCCAGTTAATATGAGGTAGATTGAAGTCATCAAGAAAGATAAAAGTGTGTGGGCAGGATGCTGCCCATGTTAGTAGTGTATTTAGTTTGTTTGCATGTTCATGTCATAATCAGGGGCTCTGTAACATAGTAAGAACCGAAATGTGATATTTAAGGACAGTTCACAGACGATGGTCTCAGGAATAGGAAGCTCCTGGGTAACTTGGATGCTTTTTAGATGTAGGGACTTTTTATAGAAGATAGCAACACCACCTCCTCTACGGATTTCACAATCTGATCGATAAACATGATAGTCTCTTACTGTGGTAATGGAATCAGGGAGAGATGCATTGAGCCATATTTTACAGACAAATATAATGCCGAATTTAGCCGTATTTAGTAAGAGAAGAAATTCAGGTATTTTATTTACAAGGCTTCTTGCATTGAGTAGCTTGCATTTAAGGCCCGTTGTGGTTGGAATAGAGGTAGTTAGGGGCATGCGTGCCTAGTGTTGAGTGATGCTGGATTGGATGGGGTGGGGTTGGATGTGGAGTTGTGGGTTGTGTGACTTTCTTTTGATGGAATCAGCTCTGTAGTCAATGTATAGGTCCTTTTCTCCATTGTCTAGATGGTTTTTGAGTTCTGCACGGAGTTCACGGGAGCAGATTCTTTGCAGTATGGATGACCCAAGGAGTCTCAGGTTGTCTTTTTTGTTATTATAAAATAATATGTACATGAATTATATTAGGCTATGAAATTCCATAAATCAAAATGCACAAAGATTGATCATTTTGACCTGAATTATGAATGGAGACATTCTGTTGTAGAAATTGAATTCTGCTCTGATGGTTTTAAACAATTCAATTTCCAGTTCTACTAAATCATAACAAGAACAATTTGATATATGTATATTTTCTTTTCATGTTTGAAAAGCTTTCCTTTTATTTTAAATATTAAATCACCTTGTTGTCCTAAACAACTGTGTATCTAAACAAATTTTCTCATAATTTTATCAGTGGTTGCGATTATTATTTCAGTAAGCCATGGCATCTTAGCATGGTTTAGCTTTCTTTGCATTCTGAGTTGAGCCATTGTGATATATAGAGCAGAATACAATAGCTCTTTCAACAAACCACCTGACTCATTGCTTAGTAACAACCATAATGGATATTAGTTCCTGGGAAAAAACAAATGATTTAATAAGAAAACAATTGCATTAAAAAAAGGAAATTATTTTAAAGGTTCTTAAAACTAGACGTATTAACATAGGTAAAAAACTGAGAATTTGGCCTGTTCAGTGCTTACCCAACACACTAACAAATGCATTGGCTAACAGATACCCATGTTCATTAGAAGCGTTGCATTGATATACACCACTGCTGCCACTCTGGATGTCCCGAAACATAACAGTATCTCCATTAACTTCACGGCTGGGATTGGGAGCAGAACCTTGGAATCAGACAGACATAAATTAAGAGGTATCTTTTATTTCTTTTTGTTATAATTTATATCAAATGAACACCATAAAAGCATCTAAAATTAAGCAATCAATCTCATCTGATGTGAAGAAATAATGGATGGAAGTTCTCTCTTGACCTGGGCATTCCTATTATTAAATATTGAAAATGAGAAGCATTTCAAAGTAGCAGTTCCAGTCATGTTGGTCCATAGAACACCTTGTTTTTCAATAATTTGATATAAATCTATATATTACATTTCTGTTCAATGTTTATTTCAATATGTCTTTGTTTCAATGGTCTATCACTGAGGCTGTATATCTAAGAAGGAAACATCCATTATATTGACAATAAAACAAATTATCCTGAATTATGTTAGTACAGATAATATACTGGCAAACTTAAGTACAAGCAGGAAAACTCTTATTGTTTCTTTTTACTAACTGCAAGGGGCTCAGTATGAATCAATTTAACTTTTTTAAAAAAGGTCTTTCCTTTCATTTTAATTACTTACAGGTAACATTAGCAATAGTGTTTATACTTATATTCCGCTTCATAGTGCTTTATAGCCCTCTGTAAGTGGTTTACAGAGTCAGCATATTGACCCCAACAATCTGGGTCCTCCTTTTACCAACTTTGGAAAGATCGAAGGCCAAGTCAATCTTGAGTTGGTCAGGATCAACTCCTGGCAGAGAGCAGAGTTAGCCTGCAATACTGCATTCTAATCATTGCGCCACCATAGCTCTTTTAGGCAATTAGCCCTCAACTTATGATCATAATGGAGCTGGGAATTTCTGTCATAAGTCAGGACAGTCGTAAATTGGGGCACCCACATAATTAACCTGATTTGATTACCTTTTTTTGCAGCACTCATTAAATGAATGTGGCAGTTGTAAAACGAATGCTTCAATTTGTTAAGTGAATCCCATGGTTGTTACAGTCATCCATTCATTCCAAAAAAGCCAGAAAGTAGCAAAAAAACTTTGTGAATCATAGTAATCATACGATTAGGGAATGTGCAAGATGAGCTTATTGCCAAATGTCCAGAATCGAGTTGTAAGTCATTTTTTGGTAGACTTTATTCAGGGGTAGGATTCCACCAGTATAACAACCGGTTCGGTGATCACACACTTTGTGTGCGCACACACGCTTTGTGTGCACACTCACCCAATGCATGCTCCGTGCCTGTGCTCCACATTTTTAAAAGCTCCAATACTTACCTTCTACTGCAGTCCCTGTGAATAAAACAGCTGAGGCGTGGCAAACCACTCTGCCGCGCGAATCAGCTGTGCTCTAAAAAAACAAAATAAAGCACAGGAAAGAGCAGGGGTGGGTGGGTGCGCCCACATGCTCATCGCAGCAAACTGGTTCGCTGCCAGCTAATCTTCGGAGCAAGGGGTTCACCCGAATCAGTCCGAACCAGTAGAATCCCATCCCTGACTTTATTGTAACTTTGAATGATCTCTAAGTGATCAGTTGTTAAAGAAGGACTACCTATGCTTAGTTTTTGTTTGTTTTGGCTAAATATCCCATGACTATTTCTTTTGATCTCATCCTTAAAGCATCACCCAATTATGCATATATCACATAATCAATGCAGAGACTCATGACTACTAAACTATTGTAGTCTGTGAGCATTGAATAAGTTCTTATGTAGCTATCTAGAACAGCCACATTTTAGAATGGAGGAGAAAACGTCCATTGTTTATGCAGACAGAAAGGTTCATGTCATTACAGAATTTGGAATGCAGAAATATGGTAAATTTATAAGGGAAAGGAAAGATGAAAAGGCAGTACAGGACAGAGATAACTGAGAAAAACAAAACTCAGAACCTCCTAAGAAGACTGAGAATCTATATAGAAATATATAATAATATCAAGACTACAGTAAGTCATGTTTGTATATCAATGCGTGATATGCATGAGGTCTACCTAAAAAAAAGCAAAAAATCTGGTGTAAATGTGATTTAAACATCAATCTCAAAACCCACTTTAACGTCATAATTTAACCTCCAAGAAAACTCAAAGTATAGAACCACAGAAATACTGTCGCACGTTAACATGCCAACGATCAATTATTTTTAATAGCATAAAACAAATAATTTCAGAAATGCAAAATGCAGATAAGCATTGACTAAAGTATAAAGTGAGTTGAATCCTCTGGAGCTTGTATTTCACACTTCGTTGGTATCAGCAATCAATTGTTTAAAAATTTGACCTGCCCTTCAAGCAATTATAACTTGAAGCAATAAAAACAGAATTAATCCAGATGGTCATCAGAAGTCAAGAGTGACAGGGAGGGAGGGAGGGAGGAAGGATTATCAGCAGTTATTTGAAAATATCTTTACCTTCCTTCTAACAATAATGAAGTCAAGAAACATGGAAGATATAAATCTTTCAAGTAATTAGATTCTGTTCTTGCTTACTTTCTAGAAGTTCTCCGTTCACAAGCCACTGGACTGAAGGTTTGGGGTTACCATTGGCACGGCACAGCAGTCTTCCATCTTCACCAGGTGCCAAAATAAGGTTCTCTGGTTCATCCAACCAATATGGGGAAGCTTTAGAACAAAAGTGATAAATATAAAAAGACACTATTGGCTATCATTATAGGGATCCACTGGAGAAAATGTGGATATGAAAGAAAGGGAGAAAACTACAGGAAAACTGAAGTGACTACAGGAAGCCAAATTGTGAGTTCTGTATGAAGAAATACTGGAAGATAGATCAATCTTTCATTGAAAGGAAAGTAGGCACAGAAGATGTTTGGAACATAATGAATACAATTGTGTTACAGCATTCATTCGAGATACACTTTTTATAGCAAATCCGAGTTTAGAGAACACTTTTCTAATGACTGGAGGCTGAAATGAAGCAAGAGCTTCCTTCCAATTAATAATGGGAGTTAATATACTTAATTGGGATGTTCCTAAAATAAGCAACAATCTGCATATATTGAAAGCAAGTAAATCAGAACAGAAATAAAAGGCAGCTGGAACTCCTCTTTTTTTTTTGCTATTTATTAATTTACTTGCATTGAATAGATAGAAAAGGATGAATTTTGGAAAACCTTTTTTTAACGTTTGTTGGGAGAGGCAGAAAAAGAACATTCAATGATATAATATTTGATCTTTAGGGCAAATTGGAATAAACATGTGGCATATAAATGGGAATGTATTTGAAAAGGTCTCATAATTTGAATACATTTTGCTTATTTGTCATTCTTTGAACTCTTAGAAGGCCAAATTATTACATCTATGTATGTATCAAATCTATTTAGCTACCCATCTGACAAGATGTGACTTTTGGCAGTGTAACAACAAAGATACGCAATAAGAAACTTGTAACACAATGATCATTAAAAAAAAAGTTTTAAAAGCATAAGGCATTCGAGTGATTAGATTAGCAAGGGAGCCACCTCCCCTGGTCCCCAGGCCTGGTGACATAGACAAGTCTTCAGAAACTTCTGAAAAATAAAAAGGGATGAAGCTGACCTCGCTTTGGGGAGGGTGGTGGTGAATGTTTCATAAGGTGGCCAGCATGGCAGAGAAGGTATCAGCCTCACCAGGTAGACCAAAGGGGAAACCTGACCAAATAAGCTAATTCTGTTTTATTACAAAGCTGCATTAACAGAATTTAGCAAGTCACCTTTACATCCTGGTAACTTAGGGAGGCTCCTTTCTTTCTCTACCCACTATGTAGTTATATCTACTCTTTCTGACTGTTCCCCAATTCACTATACCTAAGAAACAATGATAGTTTCATGGTTGCCTCCACTTGGCTGAATAAAGATATGTAGTTTTGTGTTCAAAACAGTAATTGGTTTCTCAGGAAGTATTCTAATACCATGTTCCAATCACATGGTCAGACTGACCCCAGATAGATTTCCTATGTAAGCCTCTTTCATTAGTCTTTTGCATTACTAGCTGGTGGAGAATAAGAAGGCACAATACACATGACATACCTTTCACTTTCACCAAGATACTATGGCGGCTAATGCCCACTTTGTTGGAAGCTAAGCAGAAATATTCTCCAGAATCTTCCTCAGAAATATTTGCAATATGAAGAGCCTTGTTAAAGTTTTCCAACTTGATCCTGCCAGATGGGAGATCACCACCCTTTTTGTGCCACATGATATCTGGTGTTGGACTGAAAGAACAACAACAACAAATCCAAAAGATTTAAGCATTTGATGCCAAATTTTTCCAACATGAATTATGTATTATAAGAAATTTTCTGGAAATTTGCTGCCTATTTTAAGGGTAGAAATTTCAGTGTCCTCTCAAAATAACCATTCTCTCAAAATGCCTACCAAACAATTTGAGAGGCAAGAGAGTAAAAATTAAAAATATTAAAATATTCATGTATAAAATTAAGTTGTTAGTTTTTGGCTCCTGAGAGTAAAGATTTCAGATACAGATTTAATTGTGGTAGTACGAGCTTTGGTGGTATAAAATGCTCTTCTAGCCATCAAAGTTGGCATTAATTTCTAATGATAATAGTTACAAAATGTTGAAACATATATTGTGATGTTACAATGCATGCTTTCATATTTGAACTGTGGTATATGCAAGTGTGTAAGCTGTGGAACTTGCATAATGTCACCACAACAACTTTTCATCACTTGCTCCCCTTGCCTATAAACATCAATGAACTCAAATTATATTTTCAAATTTTTACATTTGTACTTGTGAAGTTAACTTTTATTTACCAAACCTAAAATCAGTAAGAATAAGAATAAGAATAAGTAACTATGATTTTATGTCCCAGAACATAGACCAGAATGTATTTGACAAACCATGGTTTCCCTGATCCCAACTGGTACGTACACTCCTGAGGCAATGCATTCCAGCAAGAGGTCTTCTCCTCTTAGCACCATCTGACTGCTTGAAGTCCCAAGAGGGTACATGAAGCTGGGTTGCCTTTCTGCAATACCTCGGGCTGAAATCAGGACATAAGGGAGGAAAAATACAGAATTGTAAATCCTTCTCCAAATGGCAGTATGAAAATGAAAGAGAATAGAAAACAATTAGAGAATCTTTGCAACATCCAAGACCTGCTATGGGAATCTATAAAGAGATTAGGGAAATATAAATGAAAGAAGATTTCAGTGGAAAAATCAGACAATGGCACAGAGACATATGGAAAGGAATGAAATGAAGCAGTAATAATAATTGTAATAATAATAGTTACCTTGCTCACAGCAAAAGCATTTATCAGGTTTCAAGTTTAACCATGTACAAGTTTGATGTTTAGAACAAGGGAATTCTAAGTTTTTTATTTTTTCAAAATAAAAATACTGAAGAAACGTGCCTATGTTATTTGTACCTATTTGTGAACATCACAATCGCCTATAGTATTCAATAAAATTCCAATGCTATTTTAAAAATATTTGTAAAATTTACAGTGGGAAAATATGAATTACAAGAAACAACTAAAATGGTTAAATCAAATGTTATTTAAAAACATTATGTAATAAGATATTCAATATCACGTGCTGGGTCTCATGGAAACACTGAAGTTCACTTAAATTCATGAAACCTGATTGTGATTCACCCTTGCTCAAGTGAAACATTTCATATTTTGATACTAAACTATTGAGCAAGCCATTCCACTGAGCCATGAACACAAAGTCATTGCACAATATATTTCACAAAACATTATATAGGGTATAAGACCTAGGTATCTGTAAGACTGCCTCTCCAACAATTCTCTCTGACCATCCTGTAAGATCTGAGAGAGTTGGCATATTCTGGGTCCCATCCAGAATGTAAACAATCACATTATAAAACCCAGTAGGTACCCCTCATTTGTAACTGTGTCTATCTTCTGAAACATTCCCTCCATGGTTTGTATAGCTCCAATTCAATTGATCTTTAAGACAGAATTAAAGACCTAGCTCTTCTCATAGGCACTGAAATAAGGGTGGAATGCGATCCCACCAATTGGTGTATGGGGGGGGGATCATTCCCTCCCAGTGTGCTGTTGGTACTTTGTATTTTACTTTTATTGTTTTTAATCCTCTATAAACTGGTTAGAGTTGTCAGCTAGTGGGCAGTCTTAGAATTCAATGACAGAAATTCTACTTTAGATGTGTTACACCAGCAATCCGCAACCCCTCCCCCATCTGCAGCCTGGTTCCTGGCTGCAGCCCATTGATGCAACCAGAGGGCAAGCATGTGAAACCCTCCCTTCCCCACCACTACCACTGCTGGTCCGCAGAGCCAGAAAGGTAGGGACCCCTGTGCTGCACTATCAGAACAGTGTGCCTCTTCTTTTCTATTCTCACAATAGTGAATATAGCCTTGTTTGTACAGCAAAAAATTTAAAAATCCACTAAACCAAGCTAACACATATTGTGATCCAGGGAAACTAAACATATGTCAACTTTGAGTTTTACTGATCTATATTTGAAGAAAACTAACAGACTCAATTAGTTCATAGTTATTTCATTCAAGTGATATATTTATATTTTCTTTATATAACAAATCCAGATTTTTTTAGGATCCATTCCAGAGTGGAAAAAATGTCACACACAGAAGGAGCTACCTCAACATTAAAGCCAGTAATTAAGTTTAAAAAAAACAAAAAACAAGAAAATTGTTCCTCATCTATAGCAGAGAGCATAAAAAGCTTTAATTTAAAGCAGTTATCTGTATTGTTGGCTGAATTACTCATTAAAATACATAGGATGAAAAGGTTTCACGAATCTGATTATCTATTTTAGCATTATAACATGATGAAGTAGCACTGAAAATCAAGGATTGATTACTGATTTAATAGGGAAGATTCAAAGTACAACATTGCAAAAGCATTCTGAGATTGGCAAAATCTTTTGGTCTCAAAGTTATGGCTTTATTAAATGTTTAATTAAAGCTAGATCTAATATTAACTGGATATCAATTTAATGGGATGCAAAGGACAATACAATTAATTCCATAGATCTAAATCACACTGAAGAATGGAAGCTTCTATGTTAGGTCACAATACTTGAAACTGACATGATTCCAAATATCAGTTCTAAAGACTCTTGTCATTGTGAATACCTTAATAAATCATTGGATGGAGCTCTTGCTTTTGATTTGTGCACAAGTATCAAAATGAGCTTATGGTACGTCTAAATATTCTACTGTAGCAATCACAACTATATTTCTAAATAATACTTATGGTTTCCCCCTCATGGAAATATGAACTCCAGAAGAAGAAAAATAAATGAAAGAAATAAAAGATTTCTGTCCATGATAAGAAGTTACAGTTAACTTGAGAAGCAAAAATAAAATGCCATACCATTAGTACTTATTTCATAAAAATGAATTCAAATTCATCAAAAGGTTTCAAAACAAGAAGACAGCTGACATAAGATCTTTTAAAAAAGCCATTATGTAGAAAGAACCTTGAACAAATGGTGTCATAAACAAGCAATTATTCCATGCTGTTCAATATGGGCTCATTTTGTTAATTAAATGAAAATTACCACAGAGAGTGACATTTCCCTAAGCTTTGAGCATGTGAATGGGCACTCCATACACAAAAAATATATATAAAGCAAGACAAAGAGGCAACTATCAGAACTGTAGACAGGTTAAGACAAGCATCTGAGCAGAACAGTTATCAAAAAAATTCACAGAAAAATTTGCAAACAGAATAGGTTAAAAACAGGTATAAAACTTACAGATAAACAATTAAGATACAAAGAAGCAGCAGGTATGTTATTTTTAAAATATTATTTATTTACTAGTTTTCTATTTTTCCTTTTCTCCAGAAGCTCAAGATAGCCATACATGAAACTTCTTTCTCTTTGGAGCTTGACAGGATTGTGTTAATAAGTGTTAATAGAAAGAAATGTTTGCAATTAATCGTTAATTAACAGCTCCTAACAGAGGGTCTTTATGTGTTAGAATGCTGGACTAATCTTTCTAAGTGACAGGGCATAGATACATACGAGTATTCAGTTTAGAGCAGATTTCTACTGATTCATATATAATGGAATTCTGTATAAATATCTATCCTATTTATGAATATGGATGCTGATGGTCTCTTTCTCTCTTACATACATTTGCCTGCAGGAAAGGAAAGGAAATTGAGTTGAAAAAAAATCACACAGAGCCAGAAATTATTTAGTAGCTCTCACATAAACACAAAACGTGATTAATGGTTATATTAAGAATTCAAAGAGAAACTTTCACACTTATTCACAAACTACAGAAGACAAATAGGTAGCATCACTAAATATGCTAGTGTGTAATTAGTTAATATTGTTAATAGATTACTGATGTAAATTAACTATTGTGAATCTTTGAAGCATATGTTTAAATTGCTTAATCGACCTATGACAGTTGCTATGCCTCTTTTTGCACACCTGGGTTCTCGTTCCAGACAGTTTGAGTTAAATTTAGAAAACATTCCTGCTGGAGCACCTAAAGATCTGCTGCTACTTAATAAGGACAAACTTGAGTCAAATCAATGAGTTGACTTGGTACAAGACATATATTCCTGGAGATTGCTCATGAATGCCTTCCAGGTTTGATTGAACTTACTAATCAATGACTGCTTGCAGGAAATTTTCAGGGCAACTGAGTTTGTAACCAACAGGGATTGTATGAAATATCTAAATTGTTCTTGTAGTTCTTCAACTGAACTTCAAGTTTTGCAGGTATTTAGATCAAAGTACAGATGAAGACACTGAAACAGAATAGTTCTAGAAAGAATATCTCTATTGTTAAAACAGGGCAGTAACAACTTTCCAATATATTTAGAGATAAATTGCTTATTCAATTTCCACTGAAATAATACACCGAGATGCAAATACTTTTTAAGGGGGTGTTGCTTTTGAAGCTTAATTCTTCAAAGCTTTGCCAACCTAAATGGATGCCATTTAACAAAGCATCCACCTTTTCATAGGTTATGCACTGTTGAATAATCCTAACATTGTTCTTTTGCTTGCTTATACTCTATGCACACAGATTTGTCTCCTGCAAATCTACCTATTACTGAAACAAACACTGAACAATGAAACAGTGTCTAGATAGCTATGCACCTATCATAGGAGGCAAGAGGTATAAAGCTGTGAATATGGCATAGATCCTTTTAATTGGATTTATAAAATGTAATAGAAAGAGATTATATGTTTCTAAATTCCACGATTCTGACCAACGAGATATTATTCATATATTTCTATGAGTAAATCTGTTTTGTGAAAAAGCCAGAACAGAACATTAATTTTAGGATTATGGGATTAATCTTAATTATTTTTTGTCAAAATAGAATTTCTATAGTAATGTTGCTCAAATTTTGACACTGGGGCAGTGAATGTTTTCGCGGATTAAAATTAAAGATGCTTTCCTTTGGCATGCAAAAAGTTAAAATGCACACTAATTCCAACCATTCTATTTTTCACAGCATAAGCAGATATAAGGGGCAAGGATAAGTGACACTGACACTGTCATTCTCCATAAATTGGAGAGAAATAAATATAGGAGAGCTTTCTCTATTTATTTAGAATAATCACTTCATAAAGAACCTTAATTTTCCAAATTATAACTTGCTAGAAGGGCCTATTAAATTTCCAAGTTTCTTAAGGCTGCGTAGGAGAGCTGTATAAAGTATGGAAAATGTGGTTTTCTAAGGAAAAGCATGGAAGAATTGGACCGTCTGGTTTGCGATGAACTAAAATCCAGACAAAGTGAGTGGCATGTCTGCCACACATCACCCATCCTTTCCCTTCTGCAACACCTAGCAGAATATTCTCCACTGGAAATGAAATGATAGAAATCAACCAGACTCCTATGATATTTCATTTTTAAGTCTGATTTCATAACATCAAATCAAGCAAGCAAGCAAACAACAACAAAAAGCCTTGGGTTCACTGGAATCCTTCATCTTTGGAGTTTGCATCTCTCTCTTATAAGAATTATACCCTTGTATGAAAAATGAAAAGCAAA